TGAGCCTCCCAAAGTGCTGACATTACAAGCATGAGCCTCCATGCCTGGCCTGCTATTTGCTTGTCATGAACTATTAAGAATTTACTTTTTGATTAATATACTATTTCTGTATAGGTTTATGTATATATAGATATTTTGAGTTTTTCATGGATACCAATTTTTTCCCTCTTTTTGAGACAAGGTACCACTTTGTCATTCAGGATGGAGTGTGGTGGTATGATCCCGGCTCACCACAACCTCTTCTTTCTTGGCTTAAGTGATCCTCCCCCCTCAGCCTGCTGAGTAGCTGGGACCCCAGGTGTGAGCCACCATACCCAGGTAATTTTTATATTTCTTTTAGAGAGGGGTGTCTCACCATGTTTCCCAGGCTGGTTTCAAACTCCTGGGCTCAAGCAGTCCTCCTGCTTCAGCCTCTTGCAGTGCTGGGATTACAGGTGAGAGCCACCACATCTGGCCTACCATTCTCTTTTCATGGATCATTAAGAATTTACTTTATGCCAGCACAGTAACTCACGCCTGTAAATCCCAGCACTTTAGGAGGACAAGGTGGATGGATTACGAGGTCAGGAGTTCAAGACCAGCCTGGCCAAGATGGTGAAACCCCGTGTCTACTAAAAATACAAAAATTAGCCAGGTGTGGCGGCAGGCACCTATAATCCCAGCTACTCTGGAGGATGAGGCAGGAGAATTGCTTGAACCTGGTGAGAAATAGGTGCCAGTGAGCTGAGATCATGCCACTGCACTCCAGCCTGGGCAACAGAGTGAGACTACATCTCAAAAATTCTTTTACTGTTTTATTAGTATAATGTAAATATATAAATATGTGTGTGTGTATATTCATATGTGAATATATGTGTTTATGTATTTTCATAGCGTGCGCACACACACACATTGTGAAAGAGATATTTGAATACCTAGAAATTGATAAACTTCTTCCAGGTTTTGAAACCACCCTTAGCACAAACACAAAAGAAGTACAAACTATCATTATTAATGACCATGGACCAAGATGACCATGAGTCAGTACTTTGCACCTCAACCACCTTCCAGCAGAGCATCTCAGAGGGCTGGATATATCTGAACATCACACCCTTTCACATAGACTAGGATGATTTGTAATTATAACTTATTTTAAGACCTCATTGTGATCCTTGTTAAAGTGAAATTAAACTATTTCTCAAACCACAGAGATACAGAAGAACAGCTTTGGTCAGGAAATAGGTATTTCATTTGGTTTGTCATGACAAGCTCCTGGCCTAGTCAGATGGAATATAGCAGAAATGTGTGTGTGTGTGAACATTCTTGTGCACAGATGTGGAGGTGGAAGTAGTGGATTGAATTTGATGAAATCAGCAGGGGACAGGCTGCTGGGAAGAGGGCACTTGTTTTGGCAGCATCTGTGTAACTCTAGAATGAACAAAGGCTTGTAATCCACAGTTTTGTCTCCTGAAAAATAAAGATTGTAATTCCTGCCTTGATATGTGGACTAGGTGACTTGCTGTATGCAGAATATCTAGTATATAATAGGTGCTGAATTAATACTACTTTCTGTAGCTCATTCTTAATCACTGCTTAACTTTAAAAAGTTTAGGATGACTACTACTTTTGTAAAAATTATTTGTAATTATTACATAAAGTCGAAGTCCTATAGAAAAGCACAAAGCAGGCCGGGTGCTATAGCTGATACCTGTAATCCTAGCACTTTGGAAAGGCAGGGTAGGATTACTCAAGGCCAGGAGTGTGAGGACAGCATGAGGAACATAGCAAGATCCCATCTCTATAAAAAATTAAAAACCAATTATGGTAATATGGACCTGTAGTCCCAGCTACTGGGGAGGCTGAGGCAGGTGGATCACTAGAACCCAGGAGTTTGAGACTGCAGCCTGGGTAACAGAGTGAGACCCTGTCAGACAGAGGGAGTGGGAGAGAGAGAGAGAAGAGAGAGAGAAAAAAGTACAAAGAAGCAAGTAATAAATCATGAAATTTTCAACCACCAAGAAATAACTCTTAACATTATGTGATATTGCCAGGCCTAATAGCTCACGCCTGGTTGAGGCACGAGAATCGCTTGAGCCTCAGAGGCAGAGGTTGCAGTGAACCAAGATTACACCATTCTACTCCAGCCTGGGCAACAGAGACTGTCTCGGGGAAAAAAAAAAAAAAAAAGTGATAATCCATACCTCTTTTTGTGCAAATAGGTAATTAGGTAAATTGATATATTAATGCATTAAAAATAACTTTGCCTGGTGTGGTGGCTCACGCCTGTAATCCCAGCATTTTCGGAGGCTGAGGTGGGCAGTTTGCGAGGTCAGGAGATCAAGACAATCCTGGCCAACACGGTGAAACCCTGTCTCTACTCAAAATACAAAAATTAGCTGGGCATTGTGGCAGGTGCCTGTAATGCGGGCTACCTGGGAGGGTGAGGCAGGAGAATCGCTGGAACCTTGGAGGCATAGGTGAGCCAATCTTGCAGTGAGCCAAGATTGCACCACTGCACTCCAGCCTAGCAACTGATCAACACTGTCTGAAAAAAAAAATAATAACTTTACGTATTTTATATGTGTTTTAGTTTAAATATATATAACTTTCATTTTGCTTGATACAACAGAAGCTGAAGAAACTAAAGTAAGGTGGGAGAATTTCTAAACTTCAGATAAGGCCGGGCGTGGTGGCTCAAGCCTGTAATCCCAGCACTTTGGGAGGCTGAGACGGGTGGATCACGAGGTCAGGACATCGAGACCATCCTGGCTAACACGATGAAACCCCGTCTCTACTAAAAAATACAAAAAACTAGCCCAGCGAGGTGGCGGGCACCTGTAGTCCCAGCTACTCGGGAAGCTGAGGCAGGAGAATGGTGTGAACCCACGAGGCGGAGCTTGCAGTGAGCTGAGATCCGGCCACTGCACTCCAGTCTGGGCAACAGAGCGAGACTCCATCTCAAAACAATAAAATACAATAAAATAATAAAACAAAATAAGTAAATAAACTTCAGATAAATGCCTATGTGAGAGTGGTATCTTTTTATTCAACATTCATTAAAATTATGAAAAAAGATAACGTATCATGATTCTTTTTAATCTGCAGTTTCTATTTTCACCCACAGCTGCTGTGTTTTTGGAATTGGTGCATGTTTGAGAGTTTCTGTTTAATGCGTTTATACTTGGATAACTTTTTTTTTTTTTTTGAGACAGAGTCTTGCTCTGTCACCCAGGCTGGAATGCAGTGGTGCCATCTCGGGCTCACTGCAACCTCTGCCTCCTGGATTCAAGCGATTCTCCTGCCTCAGCCTCCTGAGTAGCTGGGATTACAGGTGCATGCTACCACGCCCAGCTAATTTTTGTATTTTTAGTAGAGATGGGGTTTCACCATCTTGGCCTGGCTGGTCTCGAACTCCTGACCTCAAGTAATCTGCCAACCTTGGCCTCCCAAAGTGCTGGGATTACAGGCATGAGCCACCGGGCCTGGCCTCTAATTTTTTTTATCTTTTGTGTATAAATTCCAAAAGTATGGAATTTTGGAATTGCAGCCACCATTATATACAAATTCTGGGAGGTAATTATTTCAGAGTGAGTTTCCGCACCAGGCCCCAACAGATCATGCCAACCAGCGTGAGGTCAAGTTTTACATTATTATTATTTGGTGTTAAACAGCTTTAATGTCGGTCATTGCAACTTCTCGGCACAGTAAAAAATATCTCACATGATCAACATGTTCTGTTCTGGGGAGGCGGGCAAAGGCAGGGGGAATCACCTTCTTAAAAAGTACAACTCAAGTTGGGAGGGCAGAGGGGATGGGGAGGAAACCCTCCTGGTGCCTGTAGCAAAGTGCAGGAGCCCCAACCCCCAAACTAACCTGAGTCCGGCCCCTCTGGGGAAAAAAAGGGGTGCATGAACTCCCCCTATTCTACAGGTGCCTCCCTGTGGCCCAAGGCCCACACCATACTCCATCTTGCAGCCCTGGCAGGAGCTATTTTGCATTAAGTGGAAAGCTCTGAAGGTCACACACTCCAAGTTATGTACAGGGGCTGGGAGGAGGGAAACTGCCGCTGCAGGTCCCCCAGCTCTCCCCCTCTCACAGCTGCAGGGGTAGGGGGTATATATATAAGAGGAGCAGGCCTTGGGCAGGTGCGGTGGCTCACACCTGTAATCCCAGCACTTTGGGAGGTAGAGGTGGGAGGATCACGAGGTCAGGAGATCGAGACCAGCCTGGCCAAGATGGTGAAACCCTGTCTCTACTAAAAATACAAAAATTAGCCAGGCGTGGTAGCATGCACCTGTAATCCCAGCTACTTGGGAGGCTGAGGCAGGAGAATGGCGTCAATGTGGGAGGCGGAGCTTGCAGTGAGCCAAGATCACGCCACTGCACTCCAGTCTGGGCGACAGAGCGAGACTCCGTTTCAAAAAAAAAAAAAAAAAAGAAAGGAGCAGGCCTTATTCTGCCCCAAACTGAAAGGATGAAATGACTTTACCTGGGAGGAGATAACCATCCTGCCCTCCATTGCTACCCCCACATACTGTCCGTGTCCTCAGGGAGTACTGTGAGTCCTGGGATCTTCTCCGGGGTCCCCCACCTGCCTGTGGTAGTTATGGAGGGACCCGGGGGTGGGGGTCAGGACTAGGGAGTCCCCTTCCAGCCAGGCTGTCCGAGGCCCCGATTCTGGGGCAGAGGCAGTGGCAGGGCAGCCAGGGTTACACCAGAGCATGAGCAGGGTGAGGTGGGGTCAGGCAGTCCTGGGAGTCAGAGCAGGGGCAGCAGCGGTGGACCAGCTATGCACACATCTTCCCCTCCAAGGTTTGTGTGCAGAACATCCTGCCCACGCTGCTCCAGCAGCTTCAGGTGGCACCTGCCCCAGCCCAGCCTCTGGGACCCAGGCAGCGGCTCCCAGCGGCCCTGCACCCACCACCAGCATCGGTTTCACCTGCAGTTGAAGATCCGTGAGGTGCCCAGAATGTCATGCAGTCGTCACTCCCACCGAGCAGCCCGTGGGGCTGAGGCTCCTCTCATTGGACCGACCCCCAAATGGCACCGCTGCTGCCCCTGCTCCGACTACCAGCCTCCCAGGACTCCAGAGGCAGTGGAGAGGCAGTGGCGGGGCAGTGGCGGGGCAGCCGGGGCAGCGCCAGAGCCCTAGCCCGGTGAGGTGTGGTCAGGACCCCCGTGGGGCTGGGAGTCGGGGCAGGGGCAGAACAAACCTTGGAAGGGAAGATGTGTGCATAGCGGGCCTGGGGGGCGGCTGTGTCCGGGGGAACTGGAAGAATCCGTGGGCCTGGAAGACCTGCATGACCAGGGCCAACTCTGGTCCAGGACTCGCGCAGTGAGAAGGACAGCGCCTTCTCCAACTTCGGTTCCCTGAGCCCGTCCTTGGCTTATCTACCTGTACAGGCAAAGGGGAAGCTGTCCCCCTTGCACATGGCGCACTTGGGAGTGTTGGGCTCCAGGCTGCAGCTGGAGCATCTTCTCATCTTGCATTTGGGACTGGTGGGGTCCTCGGGTGCGGGTTCCATGTCCGTAGGGTTCCCTCTGCCCCGCCCGCCAAAGCCCAGTCAGTTTCTCCTCTGCAGGCCCAGCCCCCCAGGTGGCTCAGACCAGCTGCTGCCTAGGAAAACCTTACTGTCGGGAGGGGCCACTATGACTGAGGGGCCTCCTGGCTCCAGGTCGCCCACACTTTCAGGTCTCTTGCGCCAGAAGATGGCAGAATCCATTGGGAGGAACCAGGTCGCCTTGGAAGGTGTCTCTGGGCCCTCAGCCCCAGGGGATAGGAGGCTTGGGGGGCCTGCTCTGCTGCCCTGACCAGACTCCTGAGCCTTGAAGGCTTCTGGGCCCATTGAGAAGGAGGTGGCTGCCGAGGTTGAGGAGGAAGCATCCGAGTATGTGGAGGAGCAGGATGGGGCGGGACCATAGCCTTTGCCAAAAACTGCAGATGGATCAGGGGGGCCTTGGAAGCTCAGGATCCAGCAAGGAGCGGCAGGGGGTAAAGGAGGAAGGGATGACAGGTGCAAATGCCTTCCCACCAAAGCCCTTGTTGCCCTCTGGCTCCTTCCCAGAGCTGCCCCCACTCTCAATTGGTCACCCACTCCTTGAACTTGAGATCAGTGTCAGTGGTGCTGAAGCCATCATCAGCAATGACATCATCACCCCTTCCTCCTCATGGATGACCATGTGCTCTTGCTCACTCGCTATGTCCTCACTGGCCACATGCTGGGAATAAACAGCTCAAGTGGGCAGCAGCAGGGCTGCCCACTGGTCACCTCCTTCACCAGGGACTGCAAAGTGGCCTGGAGCGCCATACTAGGCAGAAGGCTTTGGGCCAGATATGATGCAGCACAGACACCACCTGCCTCAGTTCCTGTAGTGCCTGACGGTCCACTTCCTTGCTGTCCAGGCTGTGTACTCCACTGTGGGAGAAGGCTTAGGCCAGGCTGAGCCAGATTCCCTGACTGTGTGCAGCTGTTCTGCCCCACAGAAGCTGCTCCTTGGTATCCCAGCTCTGGAGTGTCTGGGCTGCAACTGACAGGAGCTCAGAGGACACCCCAGGGGCATTGGCAGTGCCGTCTCTGACATGCTGTGCTTCCGCGAGCCCTTGTACCCTCCTGCCAGCCCCTGGCTTGTGGGCTTCGCCTCCAGGCTGGACTTCTTTCAGTCCTTGTTGCAAGTGGGCCACCTTCACCTGGGAGGTCAGGTCATGGTACTTCTCCTTCTCATTGGGCCCCAGGGTGTTCCACCACTCACCCAGGATCTGGCAGACGGTCCGGTTGTTGGTTGGGGCCATGCTGGTGGGCCCCGCCAGGACTTGGTGCTGCTTGCTGAAGATCATGACCGCCACTTACGGGCCGCTGGATGTGGTCTTTGTCCCATTTGTTGGGGCTACATTCATCCTTCTCAGAAGATGAGTCCAGGCAGAGCACTGAGGGACTGGATCTGACATCTTCTGGGTGCTAGAGGCAACTGGGTGTCAGGAGACATGACAGAGAGGAAGGCATCATCATGGTCGTTCTCTGTGTCACTGTCCAGCAGGGGCTCCCCTGAGGGGCCCAGGACTCCTCCTCCATGGTGGGAGGTGGGCTCTTACCAGGTTCAACCACCCCCAAAGTGTGTGGGGGTCCAAGCCCTGGGCTTTCAGGGCAGGTGGTTCCAGCGGGCCGCCCAGGGTCAGAATTCCCTGTCCCACCTGGTGGCCGCTCATGAGCAACAGCTGCTGACTTGGCAGGTTCTTTTGTCTGGTTGGAGGCCACTGAGTGACTGGCAGGTTGCTGGGTCTCACGCGGCTACAGGGAGGGTTCAGGAAGGGGACAGAATGCCAGGGGAACACGGCCACAGAGCAAGGTTCCATGTTCCTCCACATGAAGATGCCGATGCCACTGGAGGCCTCACTAGACGCAGGCATCAGGGGCCTGTGGGCTGAGTACTTGGTCCCGGCAGGGGGTTCCTGGCAGGCTCTCACACCTCCTCAGTCCCCTCCTCAACCTCAGCCCCCCCAACCTAAGACAGCTTGGACCTACAGAAGGGAGGGTGGGAGGGGAGCAGGAGGCCAGGCCTTAAGTTTTTTTTTTTTTTTTTTGAGATGCAGTTTGGCCGGCTGGAGTGCAGTGGTGCGATCTCAGCTCACTGAAACCTCCATTTCCTGGGTTCAAGCAATTCTCTGGCCTCAGCCTCCCAAGTCTATGTACCTTTACCGCTGAATATTATATATTTTCTTATGCTTTCATGTGATTAACTGGCATTCTTTTTTTTTTCTTTTTGAGACAGAGTGCTGCTCTGTCACCCAGGCTGGAGGGCAGTGGTGTGATCTCGGCTCACTGCAACCTCCGCCTAGTGGTTTAATTGATTCTCCTGCCTCAGCCCCCTGGTAGTTGGGATTACAGGCACCTGCCACCACACCTGGCTAGTTTTTTGTATTTTTAGAAGAGGTGGGTTTTCGCATGTTTGCCTGGCTGGTCTTGACCTCCTGACATCAGGCGATCCACCCTCCTCAACCTCCCAAAATGCTGTGATTACAGGCATGAGCCCGGGCACCCAGCTGCTTTCTTTCATTTTTACTTGAAAAACTCCATTAAGCATTTCTTTTAAGGCAGACCTAGTGGTCCTGAATTCCCTCAGCTTTGTTTGTCTAGGGAACATGTTATTTCTTCTTTCTTTCGGAAGGATAGCTTTGTCAGACATAGTATTAGTTGTTGGCAGTTTTTTTCTTTCAGCACTTTGAATATATTCTTCAATTCTCTCCTGACCTGCAAAGTTTCTTCTGAGAAATCTGCTGCTGGTTTAATGAAGATTCTCTTGACTGTGTCATGCCACTTTTCTCTTGCCTCTTCAACATTTTTAAAAAAAATCTTTGACTTTTGATTATTTGATTACATTGTGATTATGTATATTTGGTTTGAACCCCTTAGGAATCTTTAAGCTTCATGGATTTGGATGTCTAAATCTTTCCCACGATTTAGGCAGTTTCAGCCATTCTTTCTTTAAATAAACTTATTTCTCCTTTCTCTACGTTGCTTCTCAAACTCACATGACAGTGGATTGCCTAATGGTGTCTCGTTGGCTTTCTTTTCTCTCTCCTTTTTTTTGAGCTGTAGTCTTGCTCTGTCGCCTAGGGAGGAGTGCAATGGCATGGTTTTGGCTCACTGTAACTTCCCACTTGGGCTCTGCAGCCCAGCCTGTCTTGTAACCGCTGCCTCCTCAAAGCGACATCTGGAAGATTCTTCTTCCCTTTGAGGGAGAATCATCGTTGTTGCTTCATCGCTTGTAAGGGACTGAGGTGGGAGAATCATTTGAACCCTGGAGGCAGAGGTTGCTGTGAGCCAAGATCACACCACTACACTCCAGCTGGGGTGACAGAGTAAGACTCTGTTATTAAAAAAAAAAAAGTTCTGGAGATGTATGGTGGTGATGATTGCCCAACACCACGAAACTGTACAGTTAGAAATGGTCATGATGGTGAATTTTACATGTATTTTAGCACAATTAAAATATACATATATGATAATGTATGTATCTATGCATCTAAACCAGATGCTGAGAGACAGGAAGAGGAGCTGGTGAAGGCATGCAGTGCCTGAGGGGGACAGTCCCCGCCCAGAGTCCTGGGAAGGCTGGCCACTGCTCTCTGCAGGCAGAACTGGTTGTCCCGGCTGCCCTGGACTCCCTAAAGGCAGGTGCGCACACAGCCACTAGAAGGCAGCATGGGCCCTCGAACGGGGAGCCTGGCCATGAATGATTTCAGGGTTCACCCCCATCCTCAACTTCTCCAAATGTAAGAGGGGAAGGGTCATTCCAGCCCACCCACCATGCATTGTTGCAGTGAGGCTGAGAGGAGAGGACAGATCGCAAAACTAGAAAGTGTCCAGCCAGGGCCGGGCGCGGTAGCTCATGCCTGTAATCCCAGCACTTTGGGAGGCCGAGGCAAGAGGATCACCTGAGGTCAGGAGTTTGAGACCAGCCTGACCAATATGGTGAGATCCTCGTCTCTACTAAAAACACAAAAATTAGCCGGGCGTGCTGGCATGTGCCTGTAGTCCCAGCTACTCAGGAGGCTGAGGCAGGAGAATCGCTTGAACCTGGGAGACAGAGGTTGCAGTGTGCCAAGATCCTGCCACTTCACTCCAGCCTGGGGGACAGAGCTAGACTCCATCTCAGAGAAAGACTCTGTCAAACAAACAAAAAAAAAAAAAAGAAAGAAAGAAAAGAAAGGAAAAAGAAAGAAAGTGTCCAGCCTGGGCAACGTGGAGAAACTCCGTCTCTACTGAAAATAGAAAAATTAGCCGGGTGTGGTGATGAGCACCTGTGGTCCCAGCTACTTGGGAAACTGAGGTGGGAGGATCTCCTGAGCCCGGGATGCAAAGGTTGCAGTGAACTATGATTGCACAACTGCACTCCAGCCTGGGCTACAGGGCGAGACCCTGTCTCAAAAACGAAACAAAGCAAAAAAAAAAAAAAAAAAAAAAAAAAAAAAAAAAAAAAAGGGGGGGGGGGAATTTTTCCAGCTGTCCTGGAGACACGCCCTTTTGGAGGGAGACCTCTGTCAGGAGACTGAATTCTTCATTGGCTCAAACCCCTGCCTCTAGGAGGGGCCCACCTGGAAGTCCCCATGCTGCTACCCTGCAATTCCATACTTGGGCACAGTAAGCACAGAATCAGAGATGAGACAAAGGACAGCATGGTGCACTGGGGAGCCCTGAGCCTTTCCTATGGTCACCCTGTCCCCAGGGGCTCCTTTCCTGAGAGCACACCCAGGTGTGAACTTCACCCAGCACAGGCCGGCCCCTCCAGGGCAACCCAAGCCCCTCCCTACCCTGCTAGAGAGACAAATGGTAGAAATGCGGAATTGAATGGAGAGCTGGAGGGGACTCGGATGGGGACAGGGGAGGAGGCTGGGCTAATAAGTAAGAATTGCAGGGACTGAGGACATTTTCCAAGAAATGTAGCTTAGGTAACAAAATAATCTATGAAGTAGCAATATTGACATCCTCAAAGAGGAGAAAGCTGCACATCAGAGAGCTGGTATAACTGCACAAGGCCGCACAGCACAGACAGGATCAAAGCAGGTCCAGTGAAAACTCTATAGGCCTCCACTACAGACCCACGTCAGAAAACACATTCTAGAATGTTCCAGAACCAATCGTGTAACACAGGTGCCAAAGTCCAACTTAAAAAAAAATCTTTAATGTCTTGAGCTCTGCCTTTTTTTTTTTTTGAGACAGGGTCTTACTCTATTGCCTACGCTGGAGTACAGTGGTGCAAACATGGTTCACTGCAGCTTTGATGATCTCCTGGGCTCAAGCAGCCCTCCTACTTCAGCCTCCCGAGTAACTGGGATCCCAAGCATGCACCACCACACCTGGCTCATTTTTAAAATTTTTTGTAAAGATGGGGTTTTGCCATGTTGCTTAGGCTGGTCTGGCACTCTTGGCTTCAAGCAATTTTCCTGCCTTGACCTCCCAAAATTCTGGGATTGCAGGAGTGAGTCACTGTGTCCAGCTAAGACCTGCATCCTGTTTTTTTTTTTTTTAGAAATGAAGTCTATGATGCCCAGGCTGGTCTTGAACTCCTGAGCTCAAGTGATCCTCCTGCTTTGACCTCCCAAAGTGCTAGGATTACACATGTGAGCCGTCGCACTAAGCCAAGACCTGCATCTTAAGAGGGGGAGTTTAGACTGCAGGCCTCTTGCTTGCAAGTGAGATATCATTTTCCCAATCCATCCAGAAAGGTCCTTGTATCCTGTATGACTCATACTAATTCTCAGAGAGTGATCATCAGATTAGAGACTCTGGGGGTGTACCCTGCTCATAACCTTCCTTCTGCAGAAAAAAATGTGATTCAGCAGAAAATAATGCACTGTCTACACACAGCACACCCTTCCTGGTTATCAGATTCTAGCCTTTTGTTGCCTTTGAACTGCTTTACAACTCTGTAAATTGTAGGCAAATGATACATTGCCCTGTCTAGTAGATGTTCTCCCTCGCTCTCTTGTTGAAAAACCAGTTTCCATTTGCACATTCATTTCAATATCCCTGACCTATGAATGTGACTGTTCTTAGCTGCCCTTTTGAGCTGGTTATAACATCACCTGGCCCCCCTTATGAGTTAAATAAAATGGTTAATACCTATTCATTTTCTATCTGTGTGAGAGTCATAATTTCACCTTTTTTTGAAAATGATCTTGCAACACTTCCTTCATCAGGTGTTTATGACAGCTCCTTTAGGCCAGAAGAGGTGGTGGGGTCCCTTGCAGGGCATCCCATGAAGTGGAGTTAAGAGCAGCCGGCAGGTGGCCTCTGTTCCCCAGAGCAGTCTCTGAATGGGAAGGGAGGTGAGGGGAAGAGGAAGAGAAGAGGGAGGGGTTCTGCCCAGTGAATGGGACAAGGTCTTAGCAAGACCTAGATTCTTGGGTTGGTGAAGTGGCTCATGTCTATACTCCCAGCACTTCGGGAGCCAAAGCAGGGGCATCACTTGAGCCCGGGAGTTCTGTTTCAGCCTGGGCAACAGAGCAAGACCCCATCTCTACAAAAAAACAAAAAAACAAAAAAACAAACAAAAAAAAAACGACCAGGTGCAGTGGCTCATGTCTGTAATCCCAGCACTTTGGGATGCCGAGGCAGGTGGATCATCTGAGGTCAGGAGTTGGAGACCAGCCTGGCCAACGTAGTGAAACCCCATCTCTACTAAAAATACAAAAATTAACCAGGCATGGTAGTGGACGCTTGTAATCCCAGCTACTCGGGAAGCTGAGGCAGGAGAATCACTTGAACCTGGGAGGCGGAGGTTGCAGTGAGCCAAGATCGTGCCATTGCACTCCAGTCTGGGCAACAAGAGCAAAACTCCGTCTCAGAAAAAAAAAAAAAAAAAAAAAAACTGGATTCTCTCTCTGGTTAAGTTCCTAGCCAGCTATTTGACCTTGAGGTTTTTTTT